GTTCAGAAACTAAGTACATAGTGTAGACCACCATCATTTCTCAGCTAGGCTAATACAGTAGCCTCTTATAAGAACACTTCTTCTACCCTTGCCTCCCTATAATTTACTGTCCGTAAAACTGCCAGAGTGATTTTATAAAAAATATAATTCAGATCACATAATTTCCTAACTTCAAACTCTTGATGGCCTTCCAATGATTAAGGGATAAAAATCAAACTTCCTCACAGCCTAAGGCATAGCTGTATTGAATATCAGAGGGAGAAAACTTTGGGAAAGAACAGGGTAAAATTGTTTCTTTTGTATTTCTGTATTCTTTTGTTTGGGCTGCCATAACAAAATATCACAGACGGGGTGACTTAAACAGCAGCAAGTTCAAGATGTCAGCAGAGGATTGGTTTCTTCTAAGTCTCCTCCCCTTTGCTTGTGGATGGCTATCTTTTCTGTCTTCATTCAAATGGCCTTTCTTCTGTTTGTTTCTGTGTCCTAATCTCTTCTTAGAAGGGCACCAGTCACATTGGATTAAAGCCTATTTTAGTGACCTTGTTTTAACCTAGTTCCTTTTTTTAAATACCCTAACTCCAAATCCCGTCACATTCTAAGGTACTGGGGGTTAGGTTAGGGCTTTAACATATGAATTTGAAAAGGGCATAATTCAGCCCATTACAACCTCTTTATGTGTTGCCTATCTGTCACTGGGATCTCTAATAGTTCTGTTCCACGTAGCTTTAACAACTGCTGCCATAATGTGTAGTATAAATATGTTGCTTAAAAGATGCCACCTTAACATATGAGCTCAGGAGGAGGTCTCTGTCCACTGACTGGTTTTCATTCTGTTTACATGGCTTTCATTTCTTATCATTTTATTCCTTATCTGCTTGGCCCCAGTCTCACTGGCCTTTTTTCTAGTCCCTGAACACACTAAGGTCTCTCCTGCCTCTGGGCTTTCTTCCCTGAAGTTCTTTATGCTTGGGATGCAATTCTCTCAGTTCCTCCAATACCTGCCTCATGATTACCCTCCAGGTCTCAGAAAAGTTACTGCTTCAAAGAAGGGCTACAGAATCTAGGCTTTCCCAGTCTCTTACTCAATTACCAGCCTGCTTTGTATCTCTTAAAAATGACAAGATTCTCCCATTTAATTTATTTCCTTATTACTTATACTCAGGCTCCTCTAATAGCATGTTAACTCCCTGAGGCAGGAAGCTCTTGAGTCTTGTTTCCCACTGAAGCACCAGGGCCTAGTATGGAACCTGGAACACACCAGGTGCTCACTCTGTAGATGTTTATTGAATGAGTGTCCAAATGACATCTCTTTACCAATCATATATTTTAGAATCTTGCTTTGTCTCAAAAGCCTATATGATCATATAAAGCAAACACTGAATAATGCCACAAACTAACTCAACAATATTAGGATTGTAATTCTGAAGGCAAACATTTTTTCAAGAATCATTAAGAAAGAATTATGTAAGAATTGGTTAAGTGTCCAACTTCAGCTCTAGTCATGATCTTGTGGTTCATGAGTTCAAGCCCCACGTAGGGTTCTGTGCTGACAGCTCAGAGCCTGGATCCTGCTTCCGATTCTGTGTCTCCCTTTCTCTCTGCCCCTCCCCCATTCACACACTCTTTCTCTCTCTCTCTCAAAAACAAAATAAGCATTAAAAATATTTAAAAAATAGGGGCGCCTGGGTGGCTTAGTCGGTTAAGCGTCCAACTTTCCTTTAGGTCATGATCTCGCGGTTTGTGGGTTCGAGCCCCGCGTCAGGCTCTGTGCTGACTGCCAGCTCAGAGCCTGGAGCCTCTTTCAGTCTGTGACTCCCTCTCTCTCTGACCCTCCCCTGCTCACACTGTCTCTCTCTCTCTCTCTCTCCTAGAAATAAATAAAACATTAAAAAATTTAAAAAAAAATTTTAAAAATAAAATACTCATTATTATCATGGAATCTTTATAACTACAAGAATTAGTATAATCCCATATGCTTTAAAATAGATTTGTAAGTAAAAATATCATTGGCCTAATTCCTCTCCTACGCTTCCTTCACTTCCATAGAACACTTACTGTCTTAATATTTTACAGGACATAGTTTGCTAAATACCATTCGAGAAATGAGATGAGCATTGTCTGTAAACTAGAATAAAGTGAACAGCATCACCTAGGAACTTGTTAGAAATACAAATTACCAGGCTCCACTTTAGGTCAATCAGCAAGTCTAGGGTGGGGCCGAGTATTCTGTGCTCTAACCAACCTTCCAGGTGATTCTGATCCAATTCAAATTTGAAAAAACACTGCCCTAAATTGATCTTTGAAGTAACTCCTAATTGATCAAGAATCTTGTCAAACAAACATTCTAGTTGTCGGGACATATGCAACCTTAATTGTTCTGAGTAACTTATCTCCTGTGCTCTGACATGCAATGACTTAATACTTTTAATTCTTTAGCAGTTCGTAAGAAACTAGCAGAATGATTTGTCCTAATCTTGAACCACTTTGAGTTGAAACTTCTGGAACATTTTGGCTTAATGAGCTTATTACAACCATGTTTTTGTTGTTGTTTACAATTGCTCATTCAAATAAAAATTCCATTAATGTCTCACACTTGTTTTCTCTGCTTTCCAAAGGTGTTATTATTTTTTAAATGAAAACTCATTGGGATGCCTGGGTGGCTCAGTCGGTTGAATGTCTGACTTGGTTTTTTGGCTCAGGTTATGATCCCAGGGCTGTGGGATTGAACCCTGTGTCATGCTCAGCGTGAGCATGGAGCCTGCTTAGGATTCCCTCCCTCTTGTTCTCTCCCTAGCTCATGCTGTCTCTAAAATAAAATTTATTTATTTTTAATTTTTAAAAATTTTTTTATAGTTTTTATTTATTTTTGAGACAGAGAGAAACAGCATGAGCGGGGGAGGGGCAGAGAGAGAGGGAGACACAGAATCTGAAATAGGCTCTAGGCTCTGAGCCACCAGCACAGAACCTGATGCGGGGCTCAAACCCACGAACTGTGAGATTATGATCTGAGCCGAAGTCAGACACTTAACCAACTGAGCCACCCAGGTGCCCCTCTAAAATAAAATTTAAACTAATCTATTTAGAAATGAAAAGCTTATGATAGATCAATCTGATCTATACCTTTTGTTTCACTATACTTAAAAAGGATATATTTTTCTTTTTTAAAGTGTATTTATTTATTCTTCAACTCAGGTTATGATCTCATAGTTTGTGGGTTGGAGCCCTGCGTTGGGCTCTGTGCTGAAAGCTCAGAGCCTGCTTTAGATTCTGCGTCTCCCTCTCTCTCTGCCCCTTCTCAACTTGTGCTCTCTCTCTCTCTCTCTCTTTCTCTCTCAAAAAATAAATAAACATTAAAAAATTTTTAATTCATTAGTTTACTTTGAGAGAGACAGAGAGAGTGTGAGTGGGGGAGGAGGGGCAGAGAGAGAGGGAGAATCTCAAGGAGGCTCTGTACTGTTAGCGCAGAGCTGGATGTGGGGCCCAGACTCACCAAACTGAGATCATGACCTAAGCCAAAATCAGGAGTCAGAAGCTCAAACAATTGAGCCATCCAGGTGCCCCTATTTCTCCTGAGATACTTATTCAGGAAAGGATTTCCCATTCTCCTTCAAACTATTTTTTCCCCCTGTGGCTCAGTTGTCATCCTATACAGGGAGAAATATTCTGATTCCTTTTCATGAGGATAACTTTAGACCTACAGCATTAAGCTATCCCAACTGCTCTTTTTCTTTTTCTTTCTTTTTTTTTTTTTTGCATAAATCTAATTGTCCAACCAGTATCCAAAGGAAATAGTGCAACTTGATAGCCGATGTTATTCTTTCCAGTATGGAATATGTAGCTTCTGGCCATACAATGGCCTATCTACAATAAAGTATCATTTAAGGAAATGATGCTCAAGAGGACAATAATTTTTAAATTTTTATTAGGAATAAAAAGGTGTATATATATATCATAATAACTACCATTGTTGAGTGCATTATGTTCTAGAGACTGGGACAAGTCATTTACATTTATTATTTTAGTTAATACTCTTGAAAACCTTTACCTACTAGGATTCATGATTTGACTAAGATCGTATATTTAAGAAGAGCCAAATTTAAATTCCACCATTGCTAATTTTAAGCACCATGCTCACCCCAGATTGTAGCAACTTTCCTTTGTCTAAAATCTGTGTCAGCCGCGTTGTCATGAGACTCCCACCTTTCCCTTCTGCCAAACTCACCCATGCATTTATTTCCGAACCAATCTTATTTACACCTAGGAAAGAATCTCGGTAGTGGCCATTATCAGAAGCCAAGAGAAACTACTACTTAATAAATACTCTCACAAGAGAGTCACTGTGTTCAGGGTCTCTTATGAGCAATTTCATTTGATCCCTATCTGTGGTCTTGCTTGACATGTGTGATTGCTGCTTTTGAGAGGTTCAGTAGCCTGCCCGAGATCAAACAGCTAGTAGGTGGCAAGAGGTGAGCAGGTCTGACTTGTAGGAGAGTTTGTCTTAGATCTCAGTTACCAGTGGATGGTCTGCCTACTGTTAAAGGTGACATGAATCATTTTTGTGCTTAAGTCATTTAAGCAGAATCCTCAGCTCTCCAAAGACGGCCATTATGCTTTTTCTCCTCACTCTTGTGGCTAAGTTCCCTTTTTTAACAGCTTCCTTCTTTACTTAGGGCCAGTCAGATGATGGGCTATAAAAAAATTACAAAGGCAAAGAGTTTTTGTTTCCTGAACTGCCTTTCATAGCAGTGCCCAGAGGTGATGTATTATTTTAAGGAACAATGTTACCCTAAATAATTTTTTTTGCCTGTAAATAAACACTACTTTCTGGTTCTGTTGTTCTTTTGTCTACTTTTTTTTTTTTTTTGCAGAGATGCATTATCTCACTAAATATTTAAGATGCCAGTAAAAACATGATATATCTGTATTTACTCTTTAATTATCCTACTTGCCTTGTAAAATTGTTATTTTTTTTTCACTCCTATTTACTTCATACCTACTAGGTCCTGTTACAGAAGTAAAAACTGACATATATGTCACCAGCTTTGGACCTGTTTCTGATGTTGAAATGGTAGGTATTTGGGAAATTTAATGTACTTTTTGTGGTCTGAAGAAAACATGCAGATGAGGGCAAATAATATGTATTTTGTTGCTAATCGCACACAGCTAGAAAGTCAAAGAACCGCCTAATCAGACTTAAAAGTTTATAAGGATAAGACATTGAATTTACATTTCAGCTCTAATATTTGAGTATTTTTTGGTGGTGGAATTATTCTCAACAAAGAAAAAAAGCCTTGCTAGTACTTGTCTTAGTTGCACGGCCTTTTATGTAGTGATTTCTTTCCTTAGAAAATTATTGAAGTGGAGAGAATTGGAGAGTGTAATTAGTTTCTGTATGAAACTATATTGCAATCCTAACTCCATTTAGTACTGTGTGTTGGCCCACCGGCTCACAACCTGCCCCCGCCCTGATCCTTCTCTCTCTCAGGCTTCAAGAGGTTAGAACACCAAACACTGGTCAGGATGAATTCATCCATTCAGCGGTGCTCTCTCATATTAAATATATGTAATTTAAAGGTCAGAGGCCCTACGTTACCATTTTTTCCTTGACCCTAGACTCCTAGGCTGATTTTAATAAATTTTGTGAATATAAAATTGCTTTTTACATATTTCACTTTGTCTTAGAGATGCTTACAATTTTATGGTTAATTATACGATGATATTGGTTACACTTTTACTAATTTTGCTACCTGGTCTAAAGCACAGCTGTAATCGCTTGGTGCTGGCAGTTTTATTAAATTATAGTAATTAGTCTTGAATGATTCATGTGTATGGTAATTTATTTACCTGGTGAAATAGAAGATTAAGGTATCAGGATGGACATAATATGCTTTAATTGCTGAGAATCTTTTAGCTCCGTTGATTTAAGAACATTTCTGCTCCTATTAATTTAGTTTTTATTTGGGTAGGTTTTTTTTCTTTTATGAGTAAGATGGAGGCTAGAATTTAATGCATATTTATGTGTAGTCATCTGTGATTTGAATGTCACAAACTAATTTCCCTAGGAATACACAATGGATGTGTTCTTCAGACAGACGTGGATTGACAAAAGACTAAAATATGATGGCCCCATTGAAATTTTGAGATTGAACAATATGATGGTAACAAAAGTATGGACACCTGACACTTTCTTCAGGAATGGAAAGAAATCTGTTTCACATAATATGACAGCTCCAAACAAGCTTTTTAGAATTATGAGAAATGGCACTATTTTATACACAATGAGGTAGTCATTTTTTTCTTTTTCTTTCTTTCCTTTTTATGCTTTTTTTCATTCTTTCTTCCTTCTCTCTCTCTGCTCTTCTGTCCTTCCTTCTTTTCATCCTTCTCGTTTTAGGTGTCTAAAAATTCATTTTTAAAGTGAGAGTTAATTTTAATCACATTTTTCCATCATAGACTCACCATAAGTGCGGAGTGTCCCATGAGATTGGTGGATTTCCCCATGGATGGTCATGCATGCCCTTTGAAATTTGGAAGTTGTAAGTTACAATAAAAGTATTGTTAGAATTCATTATTATCTAATGCAAGCTGGTATTTATATATGTGCAGAATTTCCCATAATCCATTAATCATTGTTCATGACAACAACTGTCCAAGATTTGACTTTTAAAAGACTATATTTTATCTAATATATTTAAATAATAAAGTAAAACCAACCCCTTTTCCAAAAATCAAAAATCTATTTGTACAGATAGCCTAGGTAGACTGACTCATAAATAATAGATTGGTGGTCAGTGGTGAAATTAAAGACCTCTGAACCCCATGTGTTGGTGGTGTTACAAAGAAAGTATAACAGATTTTTAGGGGGGAGGGAGTAATTTAACATCTTCTGTTATAAGCAGAATTCTTTATGGCAGATTTGAAAAAAGGTCAGAAAGGTTTCAGGTCTTGAAATGACAAGGTTAGAATAATATCAGCAGCACTGTTAGTATCAAAGTGGTTGAAGCATGATGAAAGCATCGTAAGAGGTATGGTCCGTTATGTGGACAGAGCCAGATAATATAGCATCCTATAGACCACATTAAGGATTAGATTCTATTGTAAATGCTATAGAAAGCCTTTGGAAGATTTTCCTAGGGGACTCGGCATTCTTTGTTTGACATTTTACAATTTCATGTCAGCTTTTCTATGGAGAATGGATTGTAGGGAGACTAGAACAGAAGCAGAGAAGAGTGGGAGATTATTGCTTTAGTACCATCAAAGATGGCAGTGGCTTAGACAAGGATGATACCAAAGGAGAAGCTATGAAATAGATGATTTGCATTTTGTGGAGGTGAAGGCAAGAAGGAGAAATGAATGGGTAGAAAAGAATATGGAATTCCTTCCCCCAAGCTCCCTCTACTGAGATGGTGGAAAAATGAGATTGCCTCTTCTAATGTCTACTTCAAATATTTGATTCACTTAGAATCTACCAGAAATAGGTGCTGGCTTTTATTATTGCTTGGGATCCTAAGTGCTCTGGTTGTGAAATTGTTGCCTGCTCTTACCACTGCTCACTGCTTAGCTTAATAAGAACTGGCCTTCACCATTCTCTGAGAACCCCTAGTAATCATAGTATTCAGTGAGCAGTTAAAACTAGATAGTCATTTGCTCCCTGAGCAGTGACTTAATGAATGAGAGAAGATTAAAAAGATACATAGAAAGGGCAATCTCACTGGAGGCAGAATTTAAATCCATTTGTACTATAATTTAAATTCCCCTCCAGATCATTCTTATCTATGGGAAGTTCTTTCCCACCCACCCACTCACCTCTGCTTCCATAGAGAAGCACCGTTTGGAGTGACTTGAACATAGTTGGCACCAGTCAGGGTTTGTACTAAAGAAATCACTCCTTGGAAGTTGGTTTTACGGGTTGGGAATTAAAAAGAGAGACATTTTTTTTGATTGCTTTCACCCATTTTGCCTACGCCCCCACTTCTTGCCTCAAGTATTGAATCATTAAGAGAAAGGTTATTCTACCAAATTAGGATAAGCAAGAGAGGGACACCCGATTTAAAATGTCATGGGCAGGAACATGGCATTTGGGGCCTTTTAAATGTACGATGAAGCATGAATATACTTTGGGAGAGAAATGTTGACACAGGACTCTATACTGCTAAGTGACAACACAAGCCTCATAGTTTGTTTTGAGAAGCCAGTTTGTAAAAATAATCTCCCTAGGTATCAACTCTTTTGCAGAGTTAAAATTTACTGAGGTCCTACTGTGCTCTAGTCTCTTTTCGAAGGTTTGTGGAGAGAACAAATTTATCTTGGTTCTTTTGAATTTATTTGTGTGTGAGCCAAGCTATCTGTTGTGGGTAGACTGGTAAGCAGGCAGTTTGTTTCCATTTCCACTGAACACCAAATAAGAGAAAATGGGCTTAAATTGCCTCTGGGAGGGATTTGTTGAAGATGGAAGGGAAAATGTCCTGATTGTAAGAGTTTAAAGGTAGTGGGACTGGTCGTGTAATTATATTCCCTGAAGAGCTTCATGAACAGCAGAGCCAATTGTCACTGCAGAATTGTTCGCAGACAGCATGGGGATTGCCCAGAGGCCTTGTGGAAGAGGTGACCCCTGGAGAGCTCTCCCAACAGTAGGCTCTGTTTTTGGTTTTGTTCTTGTATTATTATAGGCAGCATCTGGTACATTTCTAATTGGCAGAATCGCCTTAAGATGGAAGAAGTCAGTGTTGGTCAGACCCTGGAAGTGAGTTAGAATGGAAAGAAGTACTTTTGGGGGAGGGGTATTACTTCTGCTTTTCAACTGTTTATCCTATTAGTATGGAAACACATCCCAGTGCATTGATGCGTATATAACATTTAAGTTGACTTAGTTTTAGTCTCTCCTCTAAATCTCGACATAAAAACAACAAATAGGCTGAGTTGCAAGACTGTTTATTTAAATCTCTACAGTTTTCTAAATCTTTTGCATGTTTCAGTAAATCATGATTTTTCTTTACTTTTATTCCATCTTTCTTGAACATGTGTAATATTCTTAACTGTTGACCATCAGTGCTGATGGAAAAGGACCACTAACTTTAATCACATTCTGGGCTCTCATTCAGATGCATATCCGAAGAGTGAGATGATTTATACCTGGACAAAAGGTCCTGAGAAATCAGTGGAAGTTCCAAAGGAGTCTTCCAGCTTAGTCCAATATGACTTGATTGGGCAAACTGTATCAAGTGAAACTATCAAGTCCATTACGGGTGAGATGTTTAATGATTAAAGTCAATGTGTTTCTTGGCATTCATTCTCGAGTCTGCAAGTGGGATTGAAAACAGATTCTGGGATTTGAGTGTTCTGAATCCTGGGCTTCAGAGTCTGAGAACTTCCTAAGAAATCTTCTTAATATGTTGCTTTCAGATGTAATATTAAAAGTACTTATCAACAGCCACTAGAAATCTTACAGTTTGTTTGCCTTATTAGCTTGTCTAAAAGCTCATAAAATATACTTGAACTCAGGGATGTTAACTATGGCTCTGTGTTATACATTTCTCTTGGTATTTTTCTTTATATGTGTAACAATTAGAAATATAACTCTTTCTGAAAACTAAGGCAGTAAGGCAGCCTCTCCTAAAACATGTACATATATATAATGTATATCTGTGTATTTCAATTCTTTCTAAAATTAAGCTTTATATTTTCAAATATGCGTGTTTTCATTTTTTTTCTACCGATTTTCCATAAAAGTTAGGTCTAAATTTTGCTCTTAGAAAATATGCTGAAATCGAATGGTAATTGGTTTTGTAGTACTGGACCTTTAAAATGGAAAGCACTGCAAGAATTTTAAAAAAGTTTTAGCTTAATCTATTAAATTGCTTAATCACCATATAGAACAAAAGTGTCTGTGTAATGATGTTCAGTGTCATTGTCCCCTTAGTTAGGAGCTATATATTTCTCAGTTTGCTTGCTATGCACAACAGATAATTCTTTGTCTAAAATACTATTTTTAGTCTGAAATATGATTATGAAGTCATTGACTAATTGCCGGCATAACCGATAATACATTTTCCTCATGTTTTATTTGTAGGTGAATATATTGTTATGACAGTTTACTTCCACCTCAGACGGAAGATGGGTTACTTTATGATTCAGACGTATATCCCATGTATTATGACAGTGATTCTTTCTCAAGTTTCATTCTGGATAAACAAGGAATCAGTTCCAGCTAGGACTGTATTTGGTAATTGCAATTCATTTCTTGGGTATCTTTTGTTCATATTGTATTTTGATCATGATTCATAGGAATAGCTCTTAGACATAATTTTTTTCTAAGAAAATATTAAGCAGTAATATATCAAGCTGTATTGAGAAAAGGATCACATAAGCTTTCAATTTTACCCAGCCAAGACGAATAAGGCTTGAGGGAGTATGGACAGTACATCACTTCCTTTGGGGCCCCATCAGATTTCTCTTATTGAGACCAGGCAAATGAAGACCAGGTGTGAAACTGGATACGATTTCACTTTGGGTGATATTCTTGGGCTCCTACCTTAATGTGTAATTGAATTAAAATCATATCTAGGTGTTAAAATGAAATGCAGTAAGAGCTTACAATAAAACAAATAAAAGTCATGGCTGAATGAATATGAAAGCCTTAGAAAAATTTGCCTTTTAATGAAGAGGAACAAAACGCAAGTTGTTTAAATGCATTGAGTTGGATGGTATTATACGCTTAGTTTATAAGCTTATTGTTATGTTCTAGTTACATCTTTTTTTCTGAACACATCACATTTTCTTCTTTTTGTTTTTATAGTAGCTTCCTATATATCATATTCTAAGCTATATGAGGTCCAGACACATCAATTTTAAATTTTAAATCTGTTCACGAGTCTTCTACATATCAGCCATGCTTTTAAATAATACAATTAGCTATAATGGTATTTATTTCATTTAACGTATTTCTCTATTCTTTTTCTACTGGTTGTGAGTAGCAAAAGCACTCAGTAGCAGGATAAGAAGGAAAATGTTCCCAGTTGCTCTGGACTGGAGGTAAAGTCCTCACAAGAAATGTCAAACTCCCTTTGCTTTTTCTAGTTGGTAGGATCAAAGCCACGGTAGAATATCCCTTATCATACAAGAGCTAAAGGGATGGATGGTGGTGAGAGGAAACAGGCAGAAGTAGGAGCTTCTCATCACAATTCCCCATCCTTATAGAGAACTCATCAGGTGTCTTAGTGTCCTCAATGCACTGGAATGTGAGGACAGTTTCCATAGACACTGTACCCTCCCCCCTTTAATCTTAGGTTTTCTCAAGAACCCTACTAGGAAAACGACCACATAAGGGTCAGTGCTGGGGGCAGGGCATGACCCCAGGAGGGCAGTGAGCAGGTATCATGGCATTGCCTACTTCATAGAGTTGTGAAGGTTCAATTTCAGAAGAAATCCACATTGCAAGTGTTGAAAAATTTTTACCTATTAAAAATGGGTGTAAAAATGAAAGAGAAAATAACAAGTGTAAGCTTTGCACCGTAAAAGATTGTGGTTTGAAACCAGAACCTGGCACTTTTTTTCTCCATCCATAAATATACATGTCCATCCTAATACATCTCTTCTTCATAGACTAGTGAGGATCTAGATTTATGTGTGGTGCTCATCACAGGGCATAGGGTGCACCCACTACATATTAGTTACTCTCTCTCATACTTCTCTGACAGAGAGATTTATTTTGTTCTGACTTGATTTCCTTGATTGTTAGTTGCTTTTTCAAGAAAATGTATATTGTTCTATTGTGTCATACCAGGCACGCTGATAGGTCCTTCATGCTCATTATCTCATTTGTGTCCATACTAATCTTGGGCCTTTCCATATCATGTTGAGTCACCCTGACTGGGCAGGAAGAACTTGCTGAGGCTGAACATCAGACCAAATTCTTTAACTTCCTCTGGCACCAATAATATCAATATTTCAGGAACCATTATCAATGATAATAAAAATGGAGTCACTTGTACACATATCATCATCTTTTTTCTGTGGTCTTAAGGAACGTCTAGAACAGAAAATACTGACCCATCATTTGTGCATCTGATGAAGGTGTATTAGTGTCTTCGTACAGATTGTACAGCCAGGTAGCCTAGGTTCTAACCACAAGGTCTGCTGCGGATTTGCTGCCAGCCATCAGTGAGTTACTTCCCTTTCCCTCATGTGTTACAGCAGGATGAATGGTTGTACCTACTTCATAGGGTTGCTCTGAGGATTAAATGAATTAATTTGGATAAAGCACTCGGAACAATGCCTATCACACAATACCTTTTATTTAAGTGTTTATTATTATAAGTCCACCCTTTCATCTACCTCATTTGAGAACCACTACTTGATTCCACAATACAAAGGTCCTTTGTATTTTATGTTTATTGTGATTGTCTGATAAGCTTTGAATGCTTTTTTGGTTGAATACAAACTGCCAGCCACTGTACGATCCCACTTGTCCCCAAAGAGTAGAAATCGCCAGTGGTGTGGAGAAGGATGACATTGATTACAGCTGTATCCACCCAACATTTCCTACAGATTTCCTGGTAATACCAAACTGTAAGGAAATTAAGTAGCATGTAGTAAGGATACTGCTGGCACTGCTACTAATGATGATAAGATTTGTCATCTTGTTTAATCTACACAACAGCTCAGCAAAGTAGGTATTATTAATTTTTCATGGATAAGCAAAACAAACAAACAAACAAACAAACAAACTCAAAAGAAATCAAGAAACTTGTATAAAGTCACATACTTATAAGTGATGGACCCAGGACAATTTCTCTCTAACTTTGAGAACTCTGCCATTTCTACTCTGTCATTCTGTCTTCACAGAAGTATGACGTGGGCACTTGTGGAGTATTCCAGAGCTACTGAGTGATATTGTATGGATGTGTGCTGAAGATAATTTGTGGGTAGCTTTTTCCATTTGAACGTGACATTTATCTGTCTTGTGCTCGTGTGCCAAGATGTTGGTTTTGATTGACCAGGGAAATTATGCACAATAATTAAGTCTTCAGATGCCTAAGATGTGTCAGCATGGTAATTATTAAATTGTTCATTTAGCACTGAGATGATATTTTCCTAAGGAAGTTAAGTTTAAAGTATTTGAGGAGCATTAGCAATCTATTTCAAATGAGATTCAGGAAAAAAATTAATTCTGGACTAGTATTTTTTCCCTCTAATTTTCATTTCCCTCTTCACTCAGGGAGAGAATTTGCTGGGTCGGAGGTATCACTAGAGATCATTCTAAAGCACACTTCCCCTTACAGGGTGCCTGGGTGGCTCAGTCACTTAAGCGTCTGACTTCGGATCAGGTCATGATCTCAAGGTTCGTGGGTTTGAGCCCCACGTCGAGCTCTGCTGACAGCTAGCTCAGAGCCTGGAGCCTGTTTCGGATTCTGTATCTCCCTCTCTTTCTAACGCTCCCCTCGTCATGCTCTCTCTCTCTCTCTCTCTCTCTCTCTCAGAAATAAATAAAGCAAAAAAAAATTTTTGAACACACTCCCCCCTCAAAAAAATTAATTAGTGTAAATATGAGAAGCAGAGTGTGCTAAATTCTCTCCAGAGGCCTTCTATCTGCAAAGTTGTATATCTTTAAGTCTTCTAATTATTCCAGTATAGTAAAATGTTAAACCCGAGTAAATGCCAGCTGGCATGTCTAAATCATTACTAGTTCATTTTCTTGGAGTGGCCAGCCAAAAATTTACTCCTGTGCACAGTCTTAGCCCACTCTTCCACGTCCTCTCCCAGCTCCTGGGCCAGCCAATATGGTACATATTCAGCATTATAAAAGCAGGTACTGGCATCAATACTTGAACGTGTCAAAAAAAAAAAAATTCTATGGTTGTTGAAATGTTTTCAGGGTAGTTGCCAGCGAAGCCATTTAGACAGATGCACTGTCTTCTTAGATGCAGAGGAAGCATGGCTTCTTATCCGAAGGGATGGCTTCTGTTTGCTATTCTTTTAGTATTTATTTAACCAAATGCTCTGTATAAAAACAGCTGTAATAAGCACATTCCTGCCATGCTAGCACTTTCTTTAAATTTGATCACCAGGCAGACAGAACTTCTTTTTTTTTTTAAATTTTTTTATAGTTTATTTATTTTTGAGACAGAGAGAGACAGAGCATGAGTGGGGGAGGGGCAGAGAGAGAGGGAGACACAGAATCTGAAACAGGCTCCAGGCTCTGAGCTGTCAGCACAGAGCCTGATGCAGGGCTCGAACCCATTAACCGTGAGATCTGACCTGAGCCGAAGTCGGACGCTCAACCAACTGAGCCATCCAGGCGCCCCAGAACTTCTTAATGACTAAAGAAAAGGATGGCAACTTCAAACACTTAGCCAATTGTTTATGCAGGCTACTGTTCCTAACTTTGCCAATAGTCAGAAAATATGAACCATAGTAACATATACCCTTCAAGGGCTAGTCTACATACTTTAAAATCAAACTGATTCAAATCAGCAAAAAACAAAAGGAATGGAATGTGGCCACACATCCAGGACTTTTTGCATTTATGTCCATAGCATAATGTAACATGTTCATGAAACTGGTGACCTACCCTCCTTAACGATCAGAAAGAAATTTGAGGACTCATGGCTCAATAATTGCATTAATATCCTACTTACTTAGCATTAACAAAGGAATTTCTTTAAATGATAGCAGGAGAAGATTATTTCAGGTCTGTGAGAGAAATTGTATAGCACATAAAAATAATTGTTCAAAGTGACATGGGAAGTCCCAAATTGCTTATATTTGAGTTTTAGTTTTCCTTTTTGGTTATCACATGCTTTATGGAATTTTTTGAGTTCTGAGGTAGTATTCTTATTTAGGCTGCACTGTTCATATTTTATTTCCAAGTGCCTTCAGCATAATTTTTAGTAGAGGAAATAAGGAAGTTGTAGAACATTTTTGAATTCTTAATAGACCATTAAACTTAAGTTTTAGAGAACAAGAAGAAAAACTTTGATTTATCTTCAAACTTTGTAACTAAAATTTTTAAAATTAATTTACATCTCACAGACAGCATGGGAAAGCTGACATTTTTTCTGAGATTCAAAATGGAGGCCTAAAAGTTCAAAGTTCTCTTTCTGAATTGAAGTCCAATAAAGTCACAATACTCCATTTTCTAGCTATTTCAATATCTCCTTATTTCACCCAAAAAACATTTTAAAATCTGTTTGAAACAAATAAAATTCTAAAACAACCTCACAATTATTTTTTCAAAAGGGAAAACAGTGAAATCCTCAAATTTCTTTCTTTGTTTATGGAATATTTTAAAAAGATCTATAGTTTATATACTGCACAATAGCTTTAATTTTTTATGTCCTAAAATTGGCAATTCAGAGGGGACTAGAGAAAAAATGGGTTAGTGAGGAGGTGAAAAAATGAGTTTTTATTTCTTATGCCTTTCTCATGTATCCAGCACTAACTGAAGTATGGTAAATCCTGAAGAAATGTTAGACATTTCTGCCCGCAAGAAGGCTACACCAAATCAAGTTGTGGAAACAGGCTTACCTGCATGGAATAATTAGGGAACCAGGCAGAATATAATTAAATTCTGAGTTGAGAAGACAATATAGTTTCTCTCTAAGTTCAAATATTATTATTCCTTTATTGCATGGAGCTCACTAATTCTTCAGTTTGACATGTCTTATTTGGCTGTCAACTAAGGACTGACATAGATTGGAACATAGTTTAGGTGTCTCCATCATCGTCATCGTTGTTGTCATCATTCATCATCATCATCATCTTTCGCCTCCTCATCCCCAAACATCTGGGTGTGTCAGTTGAGGAGCTATTCTGAGCATTATATAGAATGATTTTAAATGGATCTAGTAAATTCTCACAGAAATTTTCAAGCTTAACTAGATAACATAGATTAAATATACAGATAGATGAAGATGCAGAAGGAGACAACTATTAGCATCTTTAAATAATGCATTTCTCTATAGTTCCAGTGGCAAGTGGAATTTTTATACTGAGAATGGGGACTAACCTTTTTTTCAGGTTGAGGAGAAGGTTTCTCTGGAAATGATATGCTTTGGAAGCCTATTGATGCAAGAGAAGTACCTCTATTCTTATGGCAAAGATTTTCCTGCCTATCAGGAAAGAGAGGCACCTCTATTCTTATTGCAGAGATTTTCCTGCATGGTAGAAGTCCAATATTTTTAAAACCAAATTATTCTAGAAATCAATTTTTCCAGAAATCTACCTTCATTGCTTTTTATAAATTAAGCTCTTTCACAACTAGATTATTATTATTTTATTATTATCTTAATTCAATAGGTAATATTCACTTAAAGATTATAAATATCTATAATTCATGCTTTTTCTGGTAATGATTCTCAATAGCAATGGTCCATGTCTATCCCATAAATTCTGATGCTCCAAATTACAATGCTATCAACTTCTCACTCCTGGTTGAGAATAAGCACTTTGATAAGTAACACTTCCTGTTAGGTGGGTGTGTTGACTTTCTCAGATATGCTGGCACAGATACTAATACCAATCCAACATATGATAGGTGCCTTGTATATTTGTAATTTTTATAGTAAACCCAACAGGTAAGTATCAAATGAAGCCCAGTGAGTCTTCCTTACTTAATCCAGGTGGCACTGAGCCAAGTATTAGTAGAGGCAGGATTTTAATTATATCTGTCTCTTACTCAAAAACCCGTGCCAATTTCACTGAACCACTAGGATTTGAATCTTCCACCAAAGATGGTTTGGTCTGAGATATTGTAAACTTTGTGACCCCTCCCCCACCAAATACCGAGGTTTGTTGGTTTGTTGGTTTGTTTCCATAAAAATAATGGTAAAATATTTTGTCTCTTTGCTCTTTTGCTTTTGAAGGAATAACCACAGTCCTCACCATGACCACACTGAGCATCAGTGCCCGGCATTCTTTGCCCAAAGTGTCCTATGCTACTGCCATGGATTGGTTTATAGCTGTCTGCTTTGCTTTCGTATTTTCTGCACTTATTGAGTTTGCTGCTGTCAATTATTTTACCAATATTCAAATGGAAAAAGCCAAAAAGAAGTCATCAAAAGCCCCCCAGGAAATCCCAGCTGCTCCAGTGCTGAAAGAGAAGCATCCTGAAACACCTCTGCAGGTATTTGACCTAATCTCTTTCCATTGAGGATTTCAGCTTTTTGGTCAGATTTGCATTGCCTAGGGGGATAAACAGAAAATTTGAAAATCCCAATAACAATGTGTAAGTCATTTAAAGTCCAGAAAGATATAAAAGAATAATTGTAAATTTCAACTTTAGCACAGTGATTAATGGCCTAAAAATTAAACAGAATGGATGAGCTAGATTTACAGGGAGCTAGTTGTTTGAAACTTCCTGTCAGAATTAAAAGATTTTGACAGGTAAAATCTTATGTGTACTATTAAGGGGAACCTGTGGATATCTTTGAGTGGGTTGAGAAGGCATTTTGGTAGAGTTCATTGAACAAAATAAAGCAGCAGTTCTTAACATGATCCCACGTTAGAACTATCCCATGGGGCTGGAGGGGCCTGTGCCCTTGTATTAAACAAGAAAATAAAAGCAATAAACAAGAAGACCCATAGTTGTAGTTGATGTACGCCCAAGATGGAAAATTCTTGTCCTAAAGGGACAGACATAGAAGGATGTAAAAACCTAAGAGCTACTGTAATTTACATTGAGCACATTAGTGATTCTGCAATTAAAAAAAGTTTTAAAGTGACTTTTTCCTCACAGACTCCAGTTGCACAAAAATAGCAAGCTCTTCATGAAAACAAGGAAGCCAACAGGCAGCTCCTCTTCCTTTACCTCCTTCTCCCTCTCTTCCTCCATCTCTTTCTTACTCTCACTCTACTCAGCCTCTTTATTGACTCAGCAGACATGTGTCTGTGGTCACTTATCCGCAGCCTTATTGTAGTTGCCACGAGTAGTGATCTACTCACCAATCATAGTATAACCAAATTATCAACTTTATTGTGTGTAGATAAAACTCATTCCCTTTATTTGTTAAATCATTCATTAATTCCTTCATTTGCTAACTCTTCAACAAATACACATTCAAAGCCAACCATGTGACAGACTGTGTTTTGGGCTGAGAATCAACAGTGTATGTAAACCCCCCCCCCCAAATGTCCTGCTCTATGGAGCTTACATTTATGTATGTAGAATGAGAAGAGGGAAACAGATGATTTAAAATAGCATAAATAGGGGTGTCTGGGTGGCTCAGTTGGTTAAGAATCCACCTTCAGTCTAAGTCATGATCTCCTGGTCCTCTCTGGGGTCTGTGCGTTCAAGCCCCGAGATGGGCTCTGTGCTGACGGCTGAGCCTGCTTTGGATTCTGTCTCCCTCTTTCCCTGCCCCTCACCCCCCATCCCCTCTGTGTCTCTCTGTCTCTCAGAAATGAATAAACATTAAAAGTTTTTTTTTAAGCATAAATAATAAAACACGCAGCGTGTTAGATGCTGACAGTCTGCAATAGCAAGGAAGCACCTAAGAGGAAGGAAGCATGTATGCATTGTGAGAGGGCTGGGGTACCATTCAGAATACAGGTGGTCAGTAAAGTCCTCCGCGGGAAGATGGAGGACAGCCAGGTGGTCTGGGAAGTCCTCTGCAGGAAGATGGCCTTAGAACAAATTAAGTTCGGTGCTTGCTCTGGCAGGAATTAACTGGTGAAGTTTCAATAGTCTATACTTCCTACTGAGCTTCAGGCACTGGTTCTTTAAGAATGGTGTGTGTGCAGATAGAGAAATTACTGCCCTTTCCATTAAGCCAATTTAAATAGTTTACATTTTCCTTTAGAATAACTCATTTCGCAAGATTTTCAAAATCATTAGAATGGATTTTGTATAGTTTTCAGTTAAAAAACTGGTTATCTGCAATTTTGGCCCTTTCCCATTACCTGTGGGTAGATTTATGCCATCTCTGGCTTTTATTGTCATTTTAGTTGCTTTGCTCTCTTGTATTGAGGCCTTGGTAGAAAAATTCTATTTACCATTCCTTTAAAAAAAAATAAGCCTTGGATATTTAGTTATTTGTTTGTTTGTTTATTAACTTTCTGTGTTCTAATTGTTGATTTGTGATGTATTTCACTTCCATCTTTTTATAGGCTAATTATGTTACTCTTTTCTAGCTTCTTGGTTAATTCTTAGTAATTTATTTTTACTGTTTTTTCTTTAATAATAGTTTCCTTTATTGCAATGAGCTATACTGCGTACAGCCTTGCTCATAGTTAATAACTTTGGATATATATTACCATAATTATTTGCAAAATATTCTATAATTTCATGACTGTTTTTCTCTACAGTATTGGGAAGATAATATTAAAATTTGCAAAGTGGAGTTGGTTTGTTTATTTAGCTCCACTGTTTATTTCTAGTTGTATCACATTGTGTTCAGAAATGTTACCTGTATAAGCATAAATGTTATCATACTTCCATTGTGCTCTGAATTATGTTCAAACCTTATAAAAGTTTGATGGCGGTTTCAAAGAAATTGATTTCTTGTTATTAAATCAGTTTTACTTAAAACATTATTATTTCATTTGTCTAAGAAATCACCTCTTGTCTTCTTGATTTTTCAAATAAGAAAGACACAAACAATTCTCCCAATACTATGAGATTGTGTTGATTATTTTTTTTTTGCATTTTAACTTTTTGGTTTTATACACTTTGATATTCTGATATTTATCATGTAAAAATTCATATCTGCTCAATTTTTGTATCAGTATATGTATTTTTGTATATGTATTTTTGCTTCCATATAATACCTTTTCCCTTGAATTCTATTTTGTCTGATTTTAATATTTTTTGGTGTTCTTTCTTAATATTAGCCTTTGTTATGTATTTTTATTGCTAAGATCCTTACTCTTTATTTTTTCATGTACTTTGGAAACTATGTATCATATCTTTATATAACTAGTGGTTAATTTTAAGTTTTAAAACAATGTATTTCTACTGACGATTTCCTAATAATGTTGAAAGCACAAGACATTCTGACTCTCCCATGTAGCTGTTAACTTCCCCCATCCCCAGGATTGCACAAGTCCAGAGATTCTGTATTTGGAGACATATTTTATATATCTAATTTTTCTATTTGTGATGAATTGGCATAGTTCTTTTAATTTTTGCAAAGTGAACTTACACTAGTGCATAATGGAATATTACAGTTAAAAGTACCACTTAATCAGAATCCATGTATTTTGCAGAATTTCCAAAGGTGGGAAGAGAACCAATAATCTTCTCTTTGTTCCTTTAAACACATCACTTGGCTGGAGTAGTTGTCATTGCCAATGAGGGCTTGGTTGAGCACATGCACTTGGCTAAGTCCACTCTGATTCAGTAACTCCTCTTGGCAGGAAGGGCCACAACCTGTGTGCAAATGACATAACAAGAGTCAAGAAGATTAAATTTGTTTTTGAGAGCATAGATCCATAGTATTTAAAGGTTGTGAAGGAAATCTGGTCAAAATATGCATCATAGGCTTCCTGTCCTCTACAATATGTGACTGTTTATGTATGACAACCCAGATCTCCACAGCAGTTTACTTGGAGAATATCTGTATTCCAAAGACAGTGATTAATGGGTTAGCCCATCCTCCTAACTCCAGATTGCTGCCAGAGCATAGCTGGCATCGGAATGTCAGTTGTTATTGAATGGCGTTAGTATCAAGTTCAACTTTGAAGGTTGAAAACACATTAAAATTGAGAGAGGGAGAGTGGGGAGAACAGAGAGAGAGAGAGAGAGAGAAAGAGAGAGACAAGGAGGGAGGGAAGGGGAAGAAAATTTAGGAGGAGAAAGAATATGTTAAGAGTAAAATTTTAAAATATATTATTGGAAGGAAATATTCTAAAAACATATAAGGTTTGGCGTTTCAGTAGAAATTCTAATCAGATAGCTGAAATTTGCTTATTCAAATATGTATTCCAACTTGTATGACTGTTTACTTATCGAATGACGCTGCCTTTGTTTAAAATGTGCTTAAACTCCTTATTTGGAATTGGTCTCAGAGACTACATGACATTTGGTAATTCAGTTCTTTGGGTAAGGTCACTAGTGGTTTGATTCATTGTCACCATATGTGTCCTATGGTCAGTTAATGGCCTGGCAGAGGTGTATGGTGACCACTTCTGTTCTTTGGGAATTGGAAAGCATGTGGTTTATGGAATATTCATGAAGCAAGGAAAAAAGGCTGATTGACAGAATGTAAGGCCAACTACGGGCAACTTGGATATGTCTTCTCTTACCTTAATTACCTTAAGTCTGCCTTTGATTCTGTCCTTCCAGTATCTGAGTTGAGCTTCATTGTTGTGGTTGTGCACTTTCACATCCTTTCTACTTCTTAGAGCACCTCTATGATGCAGGTGATTTGGATTAATAGGATGGCTTAGAAAATAACTATAAAAAGTGAGGCTTTCTTAAAATCATATTTTTAAAAAGGTATATTTGAAAATATACCCTATAGTCCTTGTTCAGTTAAAAAGCATGCATTTATGAGTATATGTTGTATCTTGTGAAAAAAATCCAATGCTATAATGACTAAAATTATTTCCGCTTTTAAATTGTGGGGTCAGGTACTATGTGATATGCTTTACATGTATTTCATGATCAGGATAACTATTTCACAAATGAGGGAATTGTTAAGTTATGTAGTCAAGAAATGTAAACCAATATTTAGATTAATTCAGCTGTTATCAGAATGTAAAACTTGTTCTCTTTTAATTAAACTCTGTTTCATAGTATTTAATTTATGATATACTTATGAATAATAGTCATTAGAATGTATATATTGTATACATGCATAAAATAATCAGCCCAATAGTCTTTTGTTCATATTTTTATGAATAATAACAATAGCAAAATATTCTGAATGCTTTTTACATGTCAGTGACAGGAACTTTTACAGACACTGTATACATAACTTAATTTAAAAAACTTATAAAATGTGTCCTGTTGTAATCCATGTTTTACCAATAAGGAAATTGATAGGGATCAAGTGATCCTCCCAAAATCATGTAAGTTGCAGGGTTGGGCCAACAAAACCCATACTTCCAAGGCTAAAGCTATAATGATGGATTAGAAATGTTGAGTGATGGAAATGGAGGATGAGATGGTGGTGGCATCATTCA